CAGGGACGGATTGGAATTTCGGACCAGCCCGGGAAAATACTTTTTTACCGGCCCACTATTTATTGGGAGATTGGGGGCAACTGGCAAGTGTACCATACTGAAGATGGTATTTTTTTTTAGTATTTTAAAGAGTAGTCTACTATAATCAGTGTTATTATAAAATCAACCTTTAACAATAAAATGTAATAATAAAAAATAGCAATAGTATTACCTACATAATAAATAAATGTTACATAATAAAATGTTAGTAATTATTTTTTATTTGAATAAAATGGTTTAATTTACAATGACAGATTTTTTTTTAAAAGAAAACTCTTTTTGTAATTCTTCTATTATTTTATCTGAATCCAGTAGTGTTAATTTCTGTTTTTCGATGGCCATTAACATGAATGCTTCTAGTTTTGGATCCGAAAGCTGACTACGAAGTCTTGATTTAATATTTTTTAAGAAAGAAAAAGATCTTTCACATGATACTTGAGTTGATGGTAGAGTAAGTACATATTTGTATGCCAAAAATAAATTAGCATATGCATCACAATATAAATTATATTTTTGTAAAATGTTATAGCAACAAACAACACAGTTTTTGCAACTCTTGCAAGTTATATTTTGTGATTCAGGATTCATTTGAGATTCAATGTCATCTTCTTCATCTTGTGTTAGCTCCAAAGAGTATGAAGTAGCAAATGATTCAGCAAGACTTTTCTTTAACTTGTCCCAATTTTTCGCAAAATGTATTAACTCATCCTTTAGACCGTTGTAAGTTATATTTGAATTTAAACTCTTTAACTTATCACACAAAGTAGTCAATGCTTGATCAGGCAAACCATTTTGAATTATATACGAAAAATAACTTGGTGACAAACATGATAAATCATTATACAATTTTCTGTGTTTTATAAATCTTTTGTTAATACTCTCAACAACTATATCTAATATTCTGTTATGAACTTCTATTTCAAACTTCTTTAAAGGATGCTCATGTACCATATCATTACTAATCTCACCTGGTAACATTTTTTTCTTTCTGGTTCTTATATTAGGTAATATTTCATTTACAGTTATAGGACTATCACCATTAAATTGTAAATCTAACTCAGTATTAGCCCAAATAACAAATGACTCTGCAGATAATTTTATCCATTCCATATTTCTTTGAACTTTTTTTAAATGTTCAAGTGCTCCATCAACTAGGTTCTGAGCCGTAATTAAATCCATTGATTTTGATTGCAGGTATCTCGATAAAGGACCTGTAATACTAAAAATTCTAATATATATATATGCAGTCAAAATAGTAGAAAAATTCAATAATGTATTTTTCATAGTTTCAGCTTTGACCCTTATATCTGGTGTAGATTTTTCATCGTTTAGAATATCACCCTGAATATCATATAAAGCCATTAAAACATCAACATACAGTGCATTGCTCTTACATGGACCTTCAGTTGATCCAAATATTTTAACAAGTGCAACTTCTTTACTCCACCACCTTGTTTCACCAATACTTTGTAAGCGGTGATGTAGGCTATGGCATCGTTCTGTCCAAACTCTCATACGCTTATGTGAATCTTTGAAAAACACCGCTAAACTATTACACAAATTAAAAAGAGATGCAGCAGCTAATGGTGATTTGGAAGCATCTGACAAAACTAGATTTAATACATGGCTATAACACCAAACATGAACTTGATTTGGGGATGATTCATTAAGCCATGCTGAGAATCCATTGTACTCCCCTTGCATATTAGCCGCACCGTCGGTAGTATTAGCAATACAGTTTTTTACATTCAAATCATTTAAAAGTAAAACATTTTGTAATAAATTGTGCATGCCTTTACCTGTTGAATCTGAACAGTTAACAACTGCAATTAGGCTTTCGTGAATACCATTATCATCGACATATCTTAAGACTACTGCACATTGATCCGATGATGTAATATCTCGTAATATCTTGAGTAGTATCCAGCATAACTGCATACATTTTAGCATTTTTAACTTCATCACAAATTGATTTTTTTATCAAACGACTTATTGCAGCAATAACATAATCAACTGTGGTTTTAGAAATAAATGTAACCAGTCCTCCTCTTCCTTTACTACCACTTTCGTGGGCTTTACGGCTCTTTTTTATTACGGTTTCCAAGTGATCTTTCATTTGAAAATCATATTTTGCTAAAAACAATATGATTTCTAAAAAATTTCCATGGTCTACAAATGGATTATCTAATGTGTATGCTGCTTCAAATTGATTTCCCCTATAACTCAATCCACGTTTTCCTATAAGTTTAACAGCTTCAATCACTCTTGTAACAATTTCGCGGTTTTTTTTAATTTCTTTTTTAGTTTCACAGAAAAGTAGTGAACCAATATCATGTTTATTTGAATGGAGAAAAAAAGCTGATACACAATTTTTATGTACTGTGCTTTTATCATGTTCATCAATTCGAATATAAGTATGGCTCCATACATCTAAGCCTTTAGTAAAATTATTACTTTCTGAAGAAAATGCAAGACACAAATAACAGAACAATTGTTTTGGATTTTTATTGTAGGTTAACCATTTTCGTTCAGAGCCATTACTTCTAAAGAAAGCTTTTTGAAAATTAAATGGAGTTTCTTCATTTAATTTTGGTTTTTGAGGATGATATTTGAAAAATTGATTGAGCTGTGTAATTTCAGGTTTCTTGAATATATCTAGAGGGCCAAAATTAGAAAAATTACACATTGATTAGTTTGATAATTTACAAACTACAATAGACACAAAGACACATAGGTTATAATAAAAATTATTATAATAATGAGCCAAATGCTCAAATTAGTAAATTGTAATTTGTAATATAATATTTCTACAAATATTTTTAATTAAAAATATTATAAATTCCTTTATTTTCAAAAATTGCAATAAGTGAGATTGACACTATTCGACTCGAGCCACAGAATTGTAATTAATATTATTTTTGTCTATGTGCCTTTGTATGCTAACTAAAATATTGTTTCCAAAATTAAAAAAAACTTACTAGGTATAACTTCAATGTTAACACTTTTTTGATGATCAATAGATTCAATTACATTCAGGCCAGTATTCGCATTATCTTTATTTACAATACTAAAAGTTTCATTCTCCATTAAACTAATGTTATTAATGCAACTATCAGTAACCTATTTAATTAAAATTTTAAGAAATATTATACATACAGTTTTAGTATTTGTAAGAGTATAAGACATATCAATTATGCGACGATGCACATAAGTTATAATAATATTATTTACTTTTATAAGAACAACAATTACAAGACTTACATCATTACTAACACTTTTTTGATGATCAATAGATTCAATTACATTCAGATTCAAGGCAATATTTGCATTATCTTTATTTCCAATACTAAAAGTTTCATCCTCCAAACTAACGTTATTAATGCAACTATCAGTCACCTATTTAATTACAATTTTAAGAAATATTATACATTCAGTTTTAGTATTTGTAAGATTATAAGACATATCAATTATGTGACTATGCACATAAGTTATAATAAAATTATTTACTTTTATAAGAAAAATTGAGTAGTTAAATATAATAATTGAATAGTACTTTTATAAGAACAACAATAAATTAGGTACAAGACTTACTTCATCTAAAGTAGATGTTCCAACTTCAACATCTGTAGTAGTTTCATCCCCATTAATAATACTCTAAAAATAAAACTATAATTATTAGGTATACTAGGGTTTAAGTTAAGTTAAAAACTGAGTTAAAAAAAAAAAAAAACATTAATTTGCCCAGCCTTGTTATTAAATCGATAAATCATAATTTATACTTATCTATAATTTTTAAAAGTATCAGTTGAATATCACACTAAAATAATTTAATGTATATTTTCATATTAAAAAAATAAAATAGGTACTTATTGCATTAAGTATTTTGCAAAATATGTTGTTTCTCTCATTCTCTATCAATAAAATAAATTGTAGATTATTGTACTTTGTACAGTAACAACTAACAGTTTAATATTTTTAATTATTAATATATTATTATTATAATGACAAAGTTCAGCTAAAACTCACTTCGCTATTCTGATACTTGAAAAATGATTTGATGCTTTTAGAAGCCTTTGCTTCTAAAAGTAGCATTTTTTTATTTTTGTCACGAATTTTTTCAGCTCCTCCTTTTCGCTTTTTACCACAGTCTGACCCATCCATTTCCATTTTATTATAAATTCGCAACTATTAAAATTAATCAAATTGACGTGCTCACTGCCGACTGCCGAGTGCTGATATCGAGGTATTAAATGACGATTGATATTTAAATATAAATAACATAAATTTCAAATAAAAATAAAAATATTGGTTATTTGGTATTCATATTAACGACCCGCATCGACTTGAATCGTTAATATTCGTCGTCATTACCCGCCGGCCCATCTGATCGACGACAACCCGAATAACCAATTATTTATAGATTTTACTGTCCACGGAAGTCGATTTTTTGATTACAGCTGTTATTGCCTATTGGTATTACCATAGAACAATATAGAAGCGACACTCGATCAGCTGATGGGTGAAGTGTTTACCTATGATCTGAAGTCCGAACATTCAAACTGTTTCCGTGTACCAACATGATGTTATACCCGTATTGAAAAACCGTATCCGCTTAATGGGCAGGGTATTCTGCGCGGGGTCGGGTTGTTTCCAGCATAGAAAAATTGTTTCCACTGTTTACTAAGTTTATTTTTACTTTTACAAGTGTGCGAATACCAGTGTCCGTCAGTGTACATAATTTTTTATTGTAATTTGCTGAATTTGCTATTCCGAAAATTTGCAAAATGGTTATTAAGTGCATATTATGTACTAATAAGTATGGACCCTTGTCAATTAATATTACTTTCCATAGATTTCCGAAGGATTACGAAAGGTAAATATTAATATAATTGGTTAATAATATTAATAATGTATTAATCTAACAATGTTGTGTAATATATAATTTTATAATGCTTTAGATTTAATAAGTGGGTTAATTTCTGCCGTCGTCCGGATCTTTTGGAAAAGGGTCCATCCATTTGTAATAAAGCATATAAATTATGTTCTGAGCACTTCGTTGAAACAGATTTCAACAATAATGGTTGGTTGATTAATAGTGCAGTGCCTTCTATATTCAACTGGTCTGATGCAGAGTTGCAACAAAACAGCAGTTTAATAATGATTCCCGAGGAACCCATCCCTAGTACTAGTAGTACTTCAAGAATAATGGCTGATTCTGTTGACATTTATAGTAATTCTATATCGTCTATTAATTGGTCAAACAAATCAGCCATATCTTGTTCAACTCCTAAAAGTAAATATTTACTTATATTTATACCTATAATAACATAATAAGCAAGTCAAATTATATTAACGTTGTATTTTTTTTTTTTTTTTTATGGACATAGGTATTCTTATAAAATAAAACAATTTGCACTCATGGTACATTTTATGGGTCCTAAAGTATATAGATTTCTACGGAAATCCTGGAGTTTGCCTTCTGTTAGAACTTTACAAAGAACTACAGAAAATTGGGAAATTAATCCTGGTTTGAATGACTTTTTATTTAAAGTTTTAGCAGTGAAAGCAAACTCCATGACAGTGAAGTCCAAAGAATGTATCTTGTGTGTAGATGAAATGTCGCTTAAATCTTTTCTTTTCTTTGATTTCAAAAAAGATGAAATAATAGGTTTTCATAATACAGGATTCATTAAGTCTTGCGATGTTACTAAATCAGTTATGGTCATTATGATCAGTGGTTTGCATAGTTCTTGGAAACAACCTATAGGCTATTTTTTTGTTGCTACTACTTCTACTGGATATGATCTGCAAAATATAATCTTTCAAACTGTTCAGAAATTGTCCAATATTTCTTTTAATGTAGTAGTCATGATTTCTGATTTAGGCTCAAATTTTAAGCACTTTGCAGATCAACAAGGCATTACCCCCCAGACCCCTTACTTTAATGTTGGAGACAAAGAAATTGTTTACATGTTTGATCCACCTCATTTATTAAAGGCAACTAGGAATAACTTTTTCAATTATCGTTTCAATTCTCAAAATAAAATTGCAGAAAAAATTCATCTTACAAATTTTTATGACCTTGATAAAAGTAATCAACATCGATTGGCACCTAAATTAACTGATGTTCATTTAAATCCTAATAGTTTTCAAAAAATGAGAGTCAAATTTGCCGCTCAAGTTTTTAGTCATACAGTGGTTGCAGGGATGACTACCCTAGTTTCTTGTAATGAATTACCGCATAGTGCCTTCGATACGATTGATTTCATAGATTCCATGGATAAGCT